GATCTACGACTCCTCTTTGATTAAATAAAAACTAGCTTTAGGAAGATGTTGTCATTAAGTAGGATGTGCGACTGTCCAGTGCTCTGCTCGCTTTGGGCTAGCTGACCAGGTGGGGAAATAGGGTCATGAGCTTAGAGACCTGAGTGTGTCCTTCAGGAAGGCCAGCAGCCGTTTCTATCCGCACGAGGGGCCTCTCACGCCAACGGCCCTGCAGAGAGAAGCCTGTGCTAAGCTGCCTGCCTCCTGGACTGAACTGCCCGCCCGCTGGCTCTGTGTTCTTGCCGCCTGAGCCAGCCCTTGTGAAGGGGCTCCTGGGATCCTGCTTCCACCCAGAGGACCAAGGCTTCCCCGGTCCAGTCAGAGTTGCTACAGCTGTATCTTCCATCAGCTTCTTCACCAAGCGCCCAGAGGTGCCTCCATTCTGACAAACAGGACAGTACTTTTGGACCAGTCAGACTGTGGGGATTTGTAGACCTCACTTGCATGAACACAAACCCATCAGGGACCAGGGCCAGGAACTTCTGTCCTTGTAAGTCAATCCCTCAAGCTCAGGGAGTCCACCTTCTTTCTCCCCCACGGACGGTCCCCCTGGCTGGAGCTGAAACATCACTGCCAGAGCAGAATGAGCAGACCAGAGCAGGCCAGAGCGGCCCTGCGTGCAGCAGAACAGTGAGGGGCACATCATATGGGTCTAGATGGAGAGGACCAGGTCCCAGGGCCACGGAGCCCCATGACCTCCTCCCGACCGCGTTGTTTTCACAGCGGAGCTGTATCCCTGTTGAGCACCTAATAAAGTTTCCTTTACAACACCTCAGATGGGGATTCCTGTTGCCATTAAATTGGTGCCAATGACCATCAGTGACACTAGGCTAAAACAGATAGGTTATTTCCAACACGCAAAGAAAAGGGGATGAAAACCACAAGGAAGGAAATCCGTATGTGTCCACGTAGCAGTGGTCGTTCTGGGTTGGCCGTGGCTCGGCCTTGAGCTGAGTTTGGCATCAGCTTTAGCGGCTCTGAGAGCTGAGGCACTGGTGTGTGTGGTCCAACTTCCTAAACAGCCTCCTGGCTATTGAAAGGGACTCTCTCGGCAATGCTTATTCCACTTCATTTTTCCCGTTATCAGATGGCTTTTACTCAGCTGTAGAAGGTGCATACCTTCTGGGTTCTGCTTCCCGTTCTCTAGCCCAAGAGACATCCGCATTATGCCAGGAGGCACATGCAAGGCCGCTCAGGGCAAGGGCTCCCTTGTGTGTAGCCAGTATACCCTGTCCTACAACTCAGCCTGTTTTAGAATGAAACGTATGTTGTGTTACAGGACAAAGCAATGTATTTTGTCCAGGTATGTTGTTGTTGTGTGTGTGTCTGTCCGTCTGGAAGGACGCAGAAGATCTAGGAATGGTGGTGACCTCAGTGCAGCCATGTCCTTATCGCTTGCAGTTCTCATGATGAAACTGTGTTCACACATATCATTTAGAAATTAAAAAGAAATAAAAGTAATATTTTAAATTACTTCTGCTTTACCTGGCTGGTGTGGCTCAGTGGATTGAATGCCGGCCTGTGTAACAGGATCCCTGGTTTCATTCCAGGTCTAGGGCACATGCCTGGGTTGTAAGTCATGTCCTCAGCAGGGGACGCGCCAGAGGCAACCACACATCGATGTTTCTCTCCCTCCCTTTCCCTCTCTAAAAATAAATAAATAAAATGCTTAAAAAATAGATTACTTCACTTTAAGTACATTATTTTAACAGCAACACCATGCAAAGCATTGAGCTCTAACTCTAGATCCAAAAAAAGACAAATCAGTTACCTGCCTTCAAGGATCCCATGACCTTCAGAAGATGAAGGTGACTGATGTTTCTTGATCCCGTGCTACGACCCACGTCCTGTGCTAGGAATGTTCATATTTGATCTTTAACAATCACAGTAATGTGGAGCTTGGCTGGTTTCCTCACTTTACAGATGGCACAAAGAGTAGGCGTTGTCCAAAGTTGCCTGGTGGCAGAGGCTGCCTCAGAACCCAGACCCAGCAGATACTGAACACCTACACTTTCCATTGCATTAGCCAGCCTCCAGGTACAGATGGCTGAACTGCAAGGCATCTTGGGATTTGCTTAACAATCTGTGACAAGAAGGATCAAAGAAGGAAAAGCTTCATGGATGAAGTGCTAGTAAATTGGGGTGGTCCTTAAAAATGAATAGATTTTGACAGGTAAAATAAGAAGAAAAAAGTACGTGTCAACTTCTAATCAGCACCTACCCAGGGCTCCAGCAGCTGTGCCAATGCACCCATGAGCATATGTGCTTTTATACACCATGAAGTAGGCTTGTTCTCCCCCATTTACAGATGGAGACACTGAGACGTGGTAGGTCAGTGACTCATCCATAATTACAACACTGCTGAAGGCAGAGATGAGCCCACTGACTCCCAAAACCATATCCTGTCTTCAAAACTCCATGGACCCAGAATTCAAGGGAATGCTCTGTAAAGATTTGTTCTGGCCTGTGTATGCAGAGACCTGGCTCCTGACCCCAGCTTCGCTGTATCTGCTATGACATCTGACCAAGCCCCCTTGCTTCTCGGGGCCACCACACCCCCTTCCACTGACCTTCTAGACGCTCTAAATTAAAGGATTGGTCAAAGATTTCCAGCTCCATAGCTGACAGCTTTGGGCCCTAAAGCTCCCATGCTCACACCCACAGATCAGACACAACCCTAAAAACAGGGGCATGTGACTGGGAGCCAAGGGCTTTGCTTGGCTGGAAAGGTGGCTGGAGAGGGGCACCAGGGAGCACATTTCTCTGCTACTCCTCAGCTCTACCAGCCTCTCTGCCTGACCTTGACCTCGACCTCCAAGACTGGGGTCACCACCCAGAATTCTACTAGCACCCCTGTGACGTAACAAAAAATAAATCTTAGGTTTTTTCCCCAGCTCCCAACGCACAGCTGCTCCCATCCTTGGGTTCCTGGAGTGAGGAGAGGTCCTTCATACCCCAGGGAGAGGAGTGGGGGCCTCTCGGGAACTTCGGAATGGAGCCTGGTCACCAGGAAGACCAAGGCGGCACCGACGGGGCAGGGGCTGGAGATGAACTCAGTCACCAAGGCCAGGGAGTTCGGACATGTCTGGAAATGAGCCCTCCATGAAGGCCCCTAAACCTCTTCTTGTGCTCCTCTTCCACGCGACTGTTCCTGTGTCTCCTCTAATACGACAGTAAGTAAAGTGTTTTTCTGACCCTGTGAGTCATTCAAGGAAATTATGTGAGAAAGGTCTGAATGTATTGCCAATTTGTACAGAAAAGTGGGGAGCAGTCTTGAGGGACTGAGACTACTAGTAGTGTGTGTCAGAGTAGAACTGAGCTGCAGGACACCCAGCCTTGGTGTTCAGAGAGCTGGTGTCGGCACTAGGCAGGGTCAGGAGGAAATCAAATCATATCGCACCCCTCCTCCAGGCCACACCTCCCCCCACACGGGGTCCCAGGGCCTCCAGGGGGGGCTCAGGTTCTGCTGATCGATCCACCTCCTAGGGCAGCACTTTCCTCTCCTGGTAAGTCTGGCTCTTGAAGGTCTTCCCGTGTGCTTATTGGCCATTGAAAAAAATAATAAAAACATTATATGACATTTTTAAAGGTTGCTATTATCTTTTGCTTAATTCGAGCCTCTTGGCAAACCTGTTGTCCCACTTAATAGGAGAGCAAACTGAGGCTCAGAAAAATGAATCAGGCACCCAGGGTGTCTGTGTCCAGGTCAGCTATGAACTGAAGTTCCTGAGACCTGAGTTTCTCCAGCCCAGGTCAGTTCAAGGCATCCCCAGGAACTACTACACTCAGGGAATGTGTTGGCTGATGCCACTCCTCCATCTGAGCCCACGCCTCTGCTGATCTACAGAACAAGCAGAAAGCTCCCTAGAGGCCTGGTGTTGCAAGGAGAAAGCAGGAGCTGTTCCAGTTTCCTGTGGATATTTACTAGTTGAGTGCTGAGCTGCCCCAGGGCAGACGGCCCCTGGTCAGAACGCCACCTCAAAGCCCCCAGTAGCCCAGCAGGAATGCACTGGGCCTCAGAAGCCCAGAAAACTGTGAAAGGCTGGGGAAGATGCTCCCTAATCCACTGTAGTGTCCCAATAAGGAGTTGCTCTGGCAGACAGGGAGCCCACCCATCTGGAGAACTGAGCCTGGCCTCACAACCAAGCTTCCTGAAGAGCCTCAATCCTGGTTCTACGGGCAGGCTGGTAGACTGGCAGAGTGCCCGTGTGAAGACGCGTGTCCCTCCATGTAACATGGCCCTGCACCCAGCACAGCAGCCCAACTGACTTTTGCCCCTGGCCTGACTGCAGTGTGACCTGTCTGGGTGTCCGGCTCTAAGTTCCTGCTTTGCCTCGGACTCTGATGGCCCCTCCCCTAGCCTGGCCACACCCCTGTGTGGTTTCCTCTGAAAGATCTTCCTTCCTGCTCTGCTTCTCTTAGACTGTTCTTCCTGGTCGCTGTCCCAGATGGAGAAGTCTAAAGAGACCTGAGTGTGCAGCTCTGAGCCCAACCTTGGGCTCTGAAAGCCCACCCTGTGCTCGCCCTTCCCCCATCCCACCTCCTGTCAGCATCGCTGCACCAGGCTGCTTCCAGGACTCCGGGGCAGGAGAGGGAGGACTGAGGAGCACGGAACAGTGAGTGTCCTGAACATCCCCTCCCCCATCCCTCCCCTGCACTCCCGGACCGGCCCCAGCCCAGACTCAGCAGCTCAGTAACCTGACCCCTCCCTGGTATCTCCCAGCCCCTCTGTACTCCCCCTTCCCCCACCTTTCCCTTCTTCTCCCCTTCACCTCCCTTCTCCCAATACCACCCATTGGCAGATGCCCTGGGGCTTACAAAAATGAGTTGTGAATGCTGAAGAATAGTTATCAAGTGCAGATAAGGACTCAGGTCAGAGTCCTGCATTGAGAAATGGTTGAGGCCAAGAATGAGCCCTATTCTCTGCCTGTCTGATGCCCCTCATTGCACTCCCTCCCCAGTGAACATCCCCCAGGCCCTCCCAGCCAGGACTAAGAACGCCAGTGGAGAAGACAAGGGCCGTGCCTCAGACCAGCTCGGGGGAGTAGCGATGGCCGGTAGTGTCCAGCAGCAGCTGGCCCGGAAGTTGGAGTTAATGATGAAGGACAAGCTGAAGGAGTCCCAGCTGTTGCTAGAGTTCCAGCAGTTGCTGCCTGACCAGTATCTCCGCAAGGACTCTCCTTGTGTGACCACAACTCAACCAGAGAATTCAGATAGCATGGAGGTGGCCTCACTCCTGGTGGCTAAATACGGGGAGCAGCAGGCCTGGGACCTGGCCCTGCGGACCTGGGAGCTGATGGGACTGAGTGTGCTGTGTGCCCAAGCCTGCAAAGAGGCGGCCTTGGAGTCAGGTGAGTAGACAAAGCGCCCTCTGCGTGCTGTCCATCTCCTGCCCCCAGGACTGACCCCTGCCAGGCACTTCTCTGATAGAGGACTTCCTTGTCAGGGAAGGAGATCCAGGCTCAGACTAGACTGGAGCCAAGAGGCAATCTGGGGAAGCAGAACCTTGCCGGACCTCACTCTGGCGAAGTCCATTCCCAGAAACCCATGTGGTCACCAGAAAACCTAGGAGGGAGAGCTCAGAGTGCCAGAGAGACCAGAGGCTGACACTCGGAAGGCGCCAACAGGAAGCATGTGGGTTTCTCACCCACCTCAAGGTAGAAACGTGCCCAGCCTTGTGCTGTAAGCACAGAAGGGAGTCAGCAAGAAGTAGGTTCGATCCCGGCATCACCACACTGGGCAAGTCGCTTCGCTGCTCTTTGCATCTGAGTCCCCATCAGTACAGGGAGTGAGTAAGAGCCTGCCTCCGAGACAGTAGGAGGGTTAAAGAGAGAATCTGTGTTAGGCTTCTGGCACAGCATCTATTCCTAGTGAGTGTTCCACAAGTTGTTCCACTGCTATAGTGGCTGCCTCTGTGGATGTTACTAGTATTAGCATCTGTGGGGGGCAGAGACTTTAGCCTCCTGTGAGGGGAGCTGAGGCACAGAGAGGAGTTCTGAGTTACACGGGGAGGGAGAGACAAACTTCCTGCAGCCAGGTCAGGACACCTGCCGGCAGGGCCCGGGCTCCCTTCGGCAGCGAGGGGCTGGGGCAGGCTGCAGTGCGTGCACTGGTCTCTCCTCGGAAGACAGGGTCTCTGCCTTCTGGTTCTTCTTGGTTGGAGGACCCTGGGGTCAATGCCCTGGCTCCTGCCCACCCTGCTCGCCAGTGTCACCCTCCTTACCTGCTTCCCACAGCCCAGTCTCCCTCATTCCTCTACTTCCTGGTTCCAATGGGACTTTCCTGCAGGGCTCCCCTCCACCACAGTGCTGAAATGATTTGACCTTGAGTCCTGGGCCTCCTCCAAGAGTTAAAAAGAATTTGGAACTCTTGCCTGACAAATGGTCAGAGCAAGAAAGTGAGGTTTGCTAGTTGGCATGAGACCCCCAGGTGGGGCTGCATGGCATTCAGTGCGTTCTCACCCAGGTGAGCCTGTGGCTGCACAAGGACCTGGGCCAGGAAACTACGTAAGGAGGACGGAGGAGGAGGGATGAGGTGGTGGGGTCAGTAGGCCTAGAGGGATCTTTCAGGAACACTCCAGTGTTGAGACCACACCCCCTCTGATTTGACAGATGGCAGCCTGAGGCCCAGGCAGGGAGCCTCCCCCAACCAGGTGCCACGTGCAACATGGTCCTCGCCCGGGCACAGCTCGGGTGCTGATCTCAGTGGACTCTGAAGTTCCGTGGGGCAGGGTGGTAGCCAGTTCCCAGGAGGCCTCTGATCTCCAGGTGCTGCCCAGGAGGAGGGCCGGCGTATTCCTCAGCCCAAGTCCAACTCCGCTCCTGCCTCCTCTCATCTCGGCCTTCGCCATGCTAGTCACCAGGCTGAAACCTCTGCTCAACCCTGGCCTCCTTCTCTTTTCCTCCCAGCATCCAAATCCACGCTCACACAGCGCCTGGAAACAGAGCCAGGGTTGGAACCTAGAACCAGCGATTTCTCCCTCGAGTCTGCTGCTGCTTCGGGAGGACCCACCCCGTTTCCATGTCCCCCATTTCCGTTCCCCTTCCTTCTGTGCCCGCTCCCCCTCCTCCTGCTCCCAGGCCCTGGCACTGATGGTCACAGGCTCAGGTCCATTGTCTGATACAATTACAACTAATCCTGCTTTCTCTTGGTTTCCATTTACATTAAATATATTTCCATCTCTTTTCTTTAGGTTCATGTGTCCTTCTAGCTGAAATGAGTCCCTTGTAGGCAGCCTGTAGTCTGGCCTTAGGGCTTTATTGTTGGTTTGTTTTCATTTTTATCCATTCAGCCACTCTATGTCTTATGATTAGGGAATTTAATCTTTTTACATTTAAAGTAATAATTGAGAGAAGGAACTGTCAATGTTTTTGTAGCTTTTATGTATCTCCCTTTTTTCCTTCCTACTTCTCTTGCTGTTTATCTCTGTGATTTGAGTACTTCCTATAGTGGTAGCTTTGATTCCTTTCTCTTCTTCTCTTGTGGATCTGCTACCAGTTTTTGCTTTGTGTCCACCATGAGACTGACATAAAATATACTTATTATAGTCTATGTTAACCTTATGGAAACTTAATTTCAATGAGATCCAATAATTCTACCCTTTTACTCCCTCCGTATTTTATGATTTTGATGTCATATTTACATCTTTTGTATTGTGTCTCTATTACCAAATTATTTTACCTACAGTTATTTTAATACTTTGACCTTTTCTTCCTCTTGGAGTTCCACTCTTCAAATTTATTATTTCGATATGATAAAAAAAAATGTTGTGGTAGAAAATGAAACCACATAAGTAATAAATTTCTTAAACTCCTTCCTTTAGGCACTGAATACTCAGGAAATGCTGAAGTCATTGCTTTCCCATCATTGAATTAGGGTTTTCCCAAAAATAAATACACACACAGTCTTGTCATAATATTTTTCATTCCAATACCCATACAACTGAGTATGCAAATGTAGGAGGTCTCAAGACCCCTGTTTCAAGCGTAGGAATGTGCCGTCTCAACACTGTATATTTAAACTGTAAAGAAGTTCAAATATAAAAAAAATGCAATTTCTTCATAAACATTTTGTGTCTTTTACTACCAATCACATATTCCTTTGGACACCCTGAAAAATTTCCCTGTACACACACACACACACACACACACACACACACATTTAATGTATGTGCATATGTGAGTAAAGTGTTGGTAGCTACCCATCCCCAAAGATCAAGTATTTTCTTTAATCATCTGTATTGGTGTCAAAAAATGAATACAGATACATATTACATTGAGATTTAAATACATAATTATGAAATATAAACAAGCTAAGGAGTTACTGGCCAACAAGCAGGGTCCTGCTGCTGCTGCACATAGGCTAATTCCAGAAGCAGAGGCTTGGGAAAAAGAAAACAGTCTTTTATTCAAAAGTTACATAATCTTGGAAGAATGGCATACTTCTGTCTCAGAGCCCGTCCCCTTAAAACACCCAAAGAAAAATAACTCTGCCACCCTCTGCCAGGCCAGACCAATCCTGGGTTGCACCTGGATTTCCTTGTCTCACTTAGAACACCATCTTTTGGGAGGCACAGGCAGCCACTGCATGACCATCCATGTGGAACCCCAAGGAAAAGAAAGAAAGTAAGCCCCTCCCCTTCCTCCTTTTAAATCTTCCTGCCTATACTTCCATGCATTCTGGAAGCGTCCAGCTTCCCAGCCAATCCCGTCCTAGATTTGTAGGTGGGCACCTCACCTTGTCGTGGCACCATAGGGAAGCAAGAGGGTTTTTTCTTCCGCCAATCATGCTTGCCAGCCTACGGCTTCTCTGCCTGGCGGTGGAGAGATCTGTCATGCACCCAACGAGCTGCTTTACCGTCACCTCAAGCAAATCCCCCAATGGTTCCTCCATTTTTCTCCCCAGTGATCTAATCAGGTATCTTGGTATTAATTTCCCCCTTGAACACTTCTGAACCTTTGTAATTCTACAAAGGCAAATGTGCAAAGGTCTCATTCTTCTGGAGCTACTTCTTGCTGGCCAAGGTTGTAGTCCTACCTATCTCCAGGTCCAGAGAACAACAACAACAAAAAAGGTGGTCACAAATGAAGGGAAGACTTCACACAAGGGAGGAGGATCTTGTAAAGTCCAGGTCACTTGGTTGTCCCGGGGAAGCGACACTCACAATGTCCAAAGAACAGCATTGTTGGACAGGTTAGGGGCATATTCAGAACGATAAGAAAGGTAAGGGTGAATATTACACTGTGCCAGATTAAGAAAGGAGTGGCTTCCTTGGAGGAAGGTGTGCAAGGCATTTCACCCATGTCTGAAGCTCTTTGTCAACTATACTTAAATTAGGCTGAGGGGAATATTCTCAGATTTCCCTCCCTGAAAAATTGTGGGCCTTTTCTGCCTGAACCATTCAGGAAGAAAACGAAAGCAATTTGAAGCAAAGCTGATAAACCAAGCCATACCTCACCAACTCAAACATACAGGCCACCCAATAAATCAAGTCTTAATTCAGGAGGTGGCAATACAGATGGGTTTCTTAAGTGAGGTCTATACTTGTAAACAAGCTCCTGGGTGTATGTTTCATAGGCATACACTCCATGAAAATAGAAGGAAGAACACAAAGTTTAATTTACACAACAGATCATAAGCCAGTCTCTGCTATTGCAGTACTGTCCTTCGAGAAGATGTCCTGTTGTAAAGCTTTTGCCAGAATGAGATTAAACAGTGACCATTTGACAGGTTCTTCTTGCCTGTAAACTGAACAACTCTGGCAATCTCATCAGGTGCTGAAGTAACATCTGAATGCACAAACCAGTCCAGCTTCGAAGTGAAAACAAAACTTTGATGACAGCTACACTAGAGTCCAATATCCACAACTGAGCATTATGGTTTTCCTTCAAACGTGATATTTCTCCTTAAGACCACCTTCACTGTCATCAAAGAGACTGCCACTTTTTGATTTTGCCTTATTTGCATAAACGCTACAAGAACAGCAATTAGTCACATGGGCTCTTTAAATCTGCTTTGCTGTAACTTATACAAGGAACCCTTAGACTAAGCTTCCGTAAATCCTGCAGGGTACAGGTGTCCAGCCACACACCTGTCAGCGGGCTTTGCACGCAATACCTATATTCTTCGAGCCACTGAGGTTCCAAATGTGTCATAAGGTTTCTTCTTTGCCTTATTCCAGGGAAGCAACCTTCATTCCTTACCTGGAAAGACTGCCTTTTAGCACACGACCAAACGAGGTACCAGGCCATTTCTTCAGTTGGCTTTTCTTAGCTTCAAAAGTCAATCTCATTTCCTCAAGGCTTTCTGATAATAACCAGAGTCCAGGCAGGCCTCCTTCAGGTCTAACGTT